CGTCCCAGTCCCCTACTTTGACCAATATCCCACATTGTCACTATTATATCACTATCTTTCCTGGAGCCAGACTGGATAAAACTACAGTCCAGGAATGGATTACAGTCTTTTAAAGCGATGGCCCCTTTAAGAGAGACAGAGAGAACTTTGAGCATACCAAGTTCTGAGTCGGTTGGGCAGAGAAGTGGAGGAACAAGTTGCAAAATGGGGCTTTCTCTTAGCAAGACCCAAAAGGCTTCCAGAAATCGGGGACCTGATCAGAAACTGGGGACCAGAGAACCAGCGATCCTGTGGTTTTCCCATCAGCTCCACAAAGGTATGGGGATTTAGGTATAGGCTAATTGGAACAAGGAGCGTGATATCGGATGGTTGCTTCACTTTAGGACTCCTAGGTTCTAACCCCAGCCCTGGCAACTACCTTGCTGTGCGGACTCAAGCAAGTCAACTTGTGGAACTCCTTGCCTGAGGAGGTTGTGAAGGCTAGGACTATAACAGCGTTTAAAAGAGAACTGGATAAATTCATGGAAGTTAAGTCCATTATTGGCTATTAGCCAGGATGGGTAAGGAATGGTGTCCCTAGCCTCTGTTTGTCAGAGGGTAGAGATGGATGGCAGGAGAGAGATCACTTGATCATTAGCTGTTAGGTTCACACCCTCTGGGGCACCTGGCATTGGCCACTGGCGGTAGACAGGATACTGGGCTAGATGGACCTTTGGTCTGACCCAGTATGGCCATTCTTATGTAAGTCACTATGCTGCACTGTGCCTCAGTTTCCCCATCTACAATATTCACCTAGAGAGGTGTGTGGAGGAATCATCAGCTCATGTTTTCAGCAGCATTAATAATGCAGAGAGTTTGTCTGAGAGAGAGAAATGGGAATTTTGAGATTATTCTTGTTTCCTTTTTTCAAACAATAAATTGGAGGATTTTGTGGGGTGAAAGAAAGGTGGTTTCATTGGCAGTCTGGGAACCCTAGACCTGTCTAAGGAGTTGGGACCAATCATCTCTGGGAGTGAAAGGGCCTCTGGGAGTGTTAGCCAGGATGATGAGCCTACCACAGATCACAGATTAAGCAGAGGTGTCCCCGGTCAGTACTAGGGTGCTGCAGTAAGTGGTGCTAAGGACGCACTTTCTTCCAAGTCTGCAGGGATACCCCAGTATTGTCCTTGGGGGTGTGGCTTTCCCCTCAAGTCAGTACAGACTCCAGCACGGTGAAGGGAGGAAAGAATTGTGCTGCAGCAGTAGCCGTATTTCAGATGAGCTGTAAAACCCAAGATTTTGACCCTATGGCAGGGTGCCAATAGCTGGGGTGAACCCCTTTCATCACTGGGGTAGGCATCTGCACTGTAGCTGGGCGACTGTAGCATTTCGAGTGTAGATATATCCTCAAAATGTATATCAGCATGAAAAACCAAACACCTGAGCCATGTAGCTATGCCATCATGACGCCCAGTGGAGATGCAGCTACATTGACGGAAGTGGAATTCCAGGGCTGTAACTTCACGATGTTCCTACAGTGACAGGCTGTGGCGACACTGTGGGACTATGCGGCACCGACTCCATAGCGTAGACGTCTCTTATCCTGATGTAAGTGTGGCTTTCTTTGGTTTAGCTTAAATCCTATCCCAAGTGGCATAAGTTAAACCGAAAAGGCCATTCATATCAGAATAAGAGTGTCCACATAGGAGGAGGTGGTGTCAGAGCAGTATGATTATAACAGGTAAAACTTTCCTGTGTAGACAAAAGCCCGCGGGGCTGTGGGTTGGTTACACAGCACTGGTGTACAGCTGAAAATAAACCTGTTCCTTGCTGCTCATGGTCAGCCCAGACCACACTGTCTCCATAAACTGCCATGACCCCAGAGGTGGCTGCCTTGCAGTGTCAGGGAGACGTGGATTATCATCCCGCTGTGGTCTTTCGAGAGGACCCAACACCCTGAACAAAATTCCCGTCACAGACATGCTCTCGCCTCCGCCAGCTGCCCCTCACACCCCACCAACCCCACTAACTGCCCCTCTGAGTCACCCAAAACCCCACTAACTGCCCTGAGTCACCCACAACCCTACTAATTGTCCCCTGAGACATTCCCAACCCCACTAACTGCCCCTCTGAACTACCCCAGCCCCACTAACTGCCCCTCTGAACTACCCCAACCCCACTAACTGCCCCACAAACTACCCCAATCCCACTAACTGCCTGCAAAATACCCCAACTCCACTAACTGCCCGCAAAATACCCCAACCCCACTAACTGCCCCTCTGAACTACTCCAGCCCCATTAACTGCCCCTCTGAACTACCCCAACCCAATTAACTGCCCCCCAAATACTCCAACCCCACTAACTGCCCCCCAAAATACCCCAACTCCACTAACTGCCCGCAAAATACCCCAACCCCACTAACTGCCCGCAAAATACCCCAGCCCCACTAACTGCCCCCCAACTTGTCCCCCAAAACATCCCCAGCCCCCTCACTGCCCCCACAGCCAACCAGAGACATCCTCAAAGGGAGGGTGGGCCCCCCGCGGGAGCTGCACTGGGGGGCTGTGGTTGGCCCCGGGTAGGGGGCGAGCACTACTGACAGCCCCACAGCCGTGGCAACTCCAGCTCCCCATCTTGGCGTCAGAAAATCGAGAGCGTGCGGCGATGCTAAACGAAGAATCCCCCCCGCCTCGTTATTTTCGTGCCTTCGCCCGCCCGCTGCGCTGCCCTTGGACTTGATCTGCATCGCCCGGAATCGCAGAATCGACCGCGCTCCCTCCCCCTTCCCCCCTGGAGCCCCGCCCCTTCGGGAGGAGGGCTTTTGCCTCGCTATAGTCACGTGACGGCGCCATCCGGGTCCTTTGCCTTCTCTCCCTCTGCCCAACATGGCGGCTTCAGGTGAGTGGTGCTCGGCGGCCTCCGGGCCCTTGAGACCTGAGCCGGGCCCGGGTCCCTCCTCCGGCCCGAGGACTCTACCCGCTTCCTCACCCCGGCCCGACCCTCGCCCTTCCCGGCCCGACCGAGGCGAATCCTGTCTGTCTTCTCCTCCACGCAGGGATCGCCCGCGCGCGCACCTCCCCTCCCCTCAGGCCTCGCCGGCGTGCGCGCGCACTGTCCCCCTTCCCAGGCAGCCGGGGCGAGCGCGCTGCGGCTCGGAACGTTCCATCCCGAAACGTTCGGAGCCGCGGCGCGCGCCAGCCTACCGTAAGGGGGAGGGGGGGCAGCTGGGGGAGGGGCGGCTCGCGCCGCCGGTGATTGACGGGGGAGCCAGATGGAACCTTCGGTCGCGTGACTGCGCAAGCGCAGGGATTGGCTAGCTGGGGGGGCGGGAGCGGACGCGGAGAGAGGAAGAAGGAGACTGGGCGGCACCCACGTGGGTGCGCTGGTGATCGGAGGGGGCGGGGGGTGGAACAGCCACTGGCTGCGGGCGGTGCCCAGCCCGGGTGCGTGCGCGGGCCCATCTCTCCTGGGAGAGGGCGGGGTACCGGGCCCTGTCAGTGTGCGCACCCCTTCCCCGCTCCGCTGCCCAGCCCCCCCCACCCCGGACAGACCAGGAGTTCCCACCGCCACGTGGGGCCCCCCAGACTGCGGGGGCTGCCCCCGAGTTCCCTCAGTGCTGCATCATCTCCCCCAGGGCAGGGCAGGGGGTGCAGGGTGCCCCTGATTTCTCCCCCACCCCAAAACTAAGGGGTGCGGCCTGACCACTCTGCATGGAACCCCTTGGGGGGGGCTGCGGCCTGCCCCCAGTGCTGGGTATCGCTCCTGCCTCACCCCCTGCCCCGATGAGGGGGATGTGAAGCTCCACGCACACCCCAGGGACCAGAGGGTGCAGTTTGCCCACATGGTCCCTTTCTCAGGGGAGAAAAGGACAGCCCAGGCTGTGCACTCGCCACAGATCAGATCCTCGCTAGTTTGCATCTCTTATCTCTGTCCTCAGGGAGTTGGGCAGACCCTCTCCTGGGAGGTTGCACCCCCCTCTTGAACACATCTTTGCCCCACGCCATTTTGCCTGGCCCTGTTGCAACACCCTTCCTCTTGCTCTGTAGAGTTCTCCCTCCCCCAGGCAGGATCTGCTGCTGTCCCAGCCCTGTGTCCTGGGTGGTAGGGATTCAGTGCCCCTTCTACTGCAGGAAATGGGGTTTGTGCCCTGCTCTGTACAGCTCCTCTGCCCCTTTCTCTTTGATGTACATGGCTCCCCGCCCCTTCCAGGGCTTGCTGTCTGCCTTGTATTTCTAATATGGTGCATAAGGTCAGGACAGAATCCAGGAGGGGTGGGAAAAAGCATTGCAGTATTTACCTTCCCTTCAGAATAAAAGGTGAAAGATTTGGCCGTTCTAAACTGAAAGGGCTTTCTCTGCTGTTGAGATTCATTTACCTCCCTGGATGATGTTGAACTTGAATTTCTATTACTGTCTTAGTCTGAAGAGTGACTTTTATATGCCTTTGAAATGCACCAGACTGCACCATTATCTGCAGGTATTATCCAAAATAAGCTGGAAGGTACGTACCCTTGAATCTCCTAGCAGGGCTCTTCTTTCTAACCCTCTGAACCCAAGTCCCCATGCTGAAGAGTTTAATCGCCTACCCCTTATTGCAAGTTATCCCTTTGGAACGTTCCTTCAACAAATGCTATTCATTTAGAAAACCTCTCTGGAGCTAAAGGCCTGTTTGTTTGGGGTGGGGGAAGCTCCATGATTTAAATATAGTCTTACCCTGTCTGGAACAATGGGTCTCCCATTAATTTATGTGAAAGATTGGCTTAACTCTGTTGGACTCTTCCTGGCACTCAGCCAGTATTGCTCCATTAGGAACTGAGAGGTCTGTAGCTATTGAGTTAGGATGCCTTTGTTTTAGGGTTATACGGAGGTTCTGCAGTTAACTAGGCGGAGAGCTTTTAAAATAAACTGGCTTCTGTCTCTTACCTCACTGGTTACACTTCTGATGACATTAACCACAAAAGCCCTAGCTGTATGAGAGTCCATTGGTACTAATTCGGTCGGCTGTGTCCCATTCAGTTCCCTAGAGAAAAGGCAGCAGAATGTGTGTGTGTTGTTGCATTTATTTTTCATAGGATGGTAAGTGCAGTGTTTGACATGTAGGAAAGGTCAAGGCATGAGTATAACTGTTCGGGCAATTTTCTTCACTTCACTCACTTTTCATCTAAAATGAGTAATATTTCATCTTTCTGAGTTATGTATGCAACCAACTACATCCCAGATGAACTGCAATAACATTGCTCTCTCTGTATGACTGAAATGTCAGGGGGCATGGATGAGGATAGTTAAGCAAAACTGAAACACTCTGAATTTGCAGATGCCATTTGGAGTTCCACCAGCAGAACTGTAAGGTCCCGTATTTCATAGCAAGCAGTTTGAGGCAGAAATACCGAAATACCTGCCTCTCCCCTAGGTGTTTGCACAAACAGGTCTGTAGCTGACTAGAACCTGAGCCCATGATGTGCTTATGCAGCCCAAAAAGCAAAATATTGCTTTGAGCTTAAGGATAAGGGAAAGTGATGGAAACACACAAAATCTCTTAAGTCACTCATTTAGAGCGACATTAAATATAATACTTACAATATACTAATTCTGCCTTGAATTTTTATTTTCACATTTGCTGGGGTAACTTTTTTAATGGGGTAAGTTTAATAATAATAATAATAAAAACCTAGCATTTTCAACCTTGTATCAAAGGATAAGCAAATAGGCTTTGTGCCTGGGCTGGTCAAATTTCCCAACAGTTTTACAAAGCTGCATTAATAAAATCTAGGTCTCCGTACATCTCTTAATAATGGTAATGTTTCAATGAGCTAAGTTTGAGTAGAGCAGTAGCATGATTTTTGTTTGTATATAGCAGCTGATTCCAGTTCCAACAGCAAGATGTTAAGAAAACACTCTTGGAGGGCTTGGTGCTCCCAGGTATAACTGGTGCCTAGTTTGGAGATTGCCTCCTTGAGATGAGCAGAAGCTGCTAATACTGGCCTTATTGGAAATCCACAACTGGCAAGAAAGGGCTTCTTTTGTCCAGGTGGCTTCCCCTGCATTGTTCTTCCTGAGCCATGTGAGGTTTTGACAGGTTCAGTGATGCATAAGCAGCGCTGCGTTCAGCAACAGAAGTTGCTTCATACTGTTCATTCCTGCCTGTGACGTGTCAGCCATTTGATGCAAATTGAGCAAACAGCCAGCCTGCAGGTTTTATGAATGCGGCGTCTGCTCTAGTTAGCAGTGCATTTGCTGTCATTTAGCAACCAATCATTGACACCAAGTAGACGTCCTTGGGGGGCGGGAACATGCATGAAACACACCTTCAGCCACTTTCTTTCTGAGCAACGCTCGCCTACAGCAGGAGGGCACTTAAGCCTCATTTTCCAAGACAGTCACTGCAGTATGTCGCTGCTGCTGAGCTGCCAGTTTTTATCCTTGGCCGATGTCATAATTCCAGGAGTTTACCCCGGACAAACTGAACTTTAACCGTCCTAGAGGACTAACCCAATTTTAATTCTCAGTTCTTGTAGACTCCAGTGCTTTAACAATTGATAGTTCTTAAAGGTTAGCTAGATTCCCCTATCATCCTCATTTGCAAGAGCTCTTGCAACCCCTGCTTGCCATACTCAGCAATAGCATTCCCAGCATATACAATAAAGACATTAGACTAGAGCATTTTGCAGGAAGGGAGGGCACTTTGGAGTCTTTTCAATTTCTTCTGCTTTATCAAGAGGGTCACCTTAAACATCATGCGACCTTTACCCCTGAGGTTTTCTGGAAGACTCCAAAGTTGCACAGGTAGCAGCATGTGGATTTTGTGTGACCACCTTTACAATAACTGCATTTTGTAAACTGAGCGGCTAATACAGTGGCTATGAACTTCTAAAGTTCACCCCAGGGTAGACATTTCTCATTTAGATCTAATTATCTATAGTGCTGGTTTAGTCACTGGTGAGGCCATGTTCTGCACAGTGTCTGGAAGTCTGGTCGCTGAATTAGGTGTGTGACAGGAATTGAGAAGGTAGAGCAGAAGGCAACCTGAAAGAAAAGAGATGTTTGCAGTGAAGTAGGGGGATGCTGGCGATATCATTTGAGTGATGGGGGAGGGAGGGAGGAAGCAACTGTGCCTCTGTACTCAAATAGTTCCAGTAAATTATATAGACTCTCCATTAATCACTTACTTCTGACAGATTTTGGGTATAGGGCATTATTCTAGGTAGAGTGCAAAGTGGGCTGGCCCTGTGATCAAATATTAATCACTGCTGCTATGTAAGAGGCCTAGCTGCAAGTCTTTTCTCTGACTTCCATAGTCATGGACTCTGTGTAGATCCCTCTGACTTCTCTGGATGACGGAGGGTACATCTACACTAGAAATGCTACAGCAGTGAGGCGGCAATGCTGGAAAGCAGACACTTAACTGCAGCTATGGAAAAATCCTATTCACTGCAGTAGTAAATCCACCTCTCCCGGCGGAAGAATTCCTCTGTCAACCTAGTGGTATCTACACTGCGACTGAGGCTGGCTTAATTACATTGCACAAGGAATGAAACTTCCCAGCCCTGAGCGATGTAGTTAAGCCAACTGAACTTTGTCATGTAGGCCAGCCCTGAGTGCTGTTGAGGGGCTCTGGAAAAGGCAGTATGGCTTAGTGGATAGTGCATTGGACTGGGATTTTGGGCCTGAGTTTCACTGCTGGCTGTGGCCTTGGGTAAGTAGCTTCCTCGCTCCCTGCCTCAGTTTCCTCATCTGTAAAATTTGGATAATGATACTGACTTCCTTTGTAAAGTGCTTTGAGATCTACTGATAAGAAAGCACTGGGTAAGACCTCTGCTAGGAGGATAGTAACTGCAGGGCGGGCTTCATAGGTGATGGATTAAAATAGGGGCTAGCAAAATGGGATAGGAGAATCTACCCCATTTGTTTATCGTCCTGGCACCTCAAAATTCCTCCTGGCCATAGGAACTGAATGTCTTATTAACTGGCGCTCACTGTTACTCCTTGGAACTCAACCTGCAAGGCTGGCGGAGTTTTAAGGCTCCAAGTCCATTCCCATCTTGCTTGAGGTCAAAACTGCCTGTGCCTCAGGGTTTTTTCCCCTCCTCCTCTTGGCCTAGCCATGAAGTCATAATGCTGAATCTGTGATTTCACAGTTGCTTCCATGGCAACAAAATGAGGTGGTTTAATAAAAAAAGGACCATGTGGCTTTGCTGCAGGATTTAGACTCTAGAGTGGGCTGG